TTTAATAGCCTACAGCTAATCAGTCTGTCAGATTTGGAGTGCATTACAGATAAAAAAAAAAATTATAAATGCTAATTTCTCTTAAATAAAACAAATACATCTATAGATATGGTGTATAAGTATAAAGCTTCACTCAGAAGGAGACAACTTGAATGGTTTGTGAGCACAATTAAATGCACACAGCATGCCATATCATCTGCCAAATAATTCCAAAAGACACTTGACTGTGTAAAGCTACATAAAACAAAACAAAAATATGATGTATATGGTCAATTCCATGAAAATGTCAACCTTATCATGAAAAAATAAACTTTTGACCAAAATAACAAAACCTATTTAAATTTGCTCATTAAGGTCTATATTTTATTGTAATGATGTGCTCTTGTTGAATTTTTAAGGAAATTGGTTTGTTTATCCATGAAATATGAGGATTGTGCCAATGGTAAATTTCATTATAATCCAACCACATTTCGTGCTTTAAAAAAAGGGATTAAAGACTCACCTTTTCCATGCTTTATGTTAACAGTAATCATTCTGCAGAAGGATTGGAGTCTGTAGTATAAATAATTACCCTTACTTTTTCATAACATTACTGCCCTTTTGATTTATGAGCTACATATTTTAGACATCAAGCAGCTTCGGTCACGTGTCACGTCCGTAACGATTTAATGAAAAAGTTTATATTGTGGAATAAATATTATAACAAATAAAATGAAACTTTGTATACAAAGCCAAAATATGTCCATACTAATTATGATCGCCAACTCATCTCAGGTCTTTGCTTTAAACAACTACAATTTTGCGTTACGGACGTGACCATTTTTGAACTCCTTATTAATATAAACCAATGACTAGCGCATATTTGTTCATTATGATGCTGCATTACAACTATTGACTTACATTACATAACATCCATATGTTATATCAAGAACTGAACATTTCAGTTAGCTATAAACCATTTTAGTAACATTTCAAAAATAAATGTTTAATAAAGAGAACAACATTTTACATGCCATAATCTTGGCGCAAAATCTTGGTGTTTTGGCGATGCAGCACCTTGTATTGAAGCACTTCTTGTTTCTTTTGTAGATAGGGTAACTGACCGTCAAAAAATAGATCAAATAGTTAAGATACAATTTATGCCAAACTAGGAATGCTGATTTCGATTCATTTTGCCAACCAACAACCGCTGGTTAAGCGATTAACCGTTAACAGATTAATATCAAAATATTTAATAAAAAAAAATTGACGTGCCTATTTTGTCTGACACATTAAATATTGCATTTTAAAATACTGATTTAGGTTATTTTAACATGCGAACAGCATACAGAACGAGCATCTTTACGCACCTGCAGTGTTTTTAGCAGCACAGAAACTAACAAAAATAATAAAATAAATCCTGCTCTAAACCTTTTTACTTAAATGACAAATTAAGATTACAAAACGAAAACATTGACTGAATGCTTTTTAAGAATCGGCATAGACTGTTTGTCCAATCGTGTTTTTTGTTCTTCCGTCAATTAAAAAATATTAGGCTGCATCAAATAGGCTAGATTGCTTTACAGAAAAAATGCATTCAATTAATGCTCCGCTGTTATAATATTACAAAACCTGTCAACATTTTTAATAGAAGTCATTAGTTTAAAGATTATGTCTTAATTATGATTTATTGGCCTATTTCCTCTGTCTTACTTGCGGTTCATGTGCGCGCGCGCGCGCTGAGTATAGTGAAAGATAATGACAATGAACCATAAGACTTTGAACCTATACTTTTTGTTAAATATAGGCTAAGGATATAACAATTTTGTTATTTACATGTGATACTGTATTAATTTGCATACATGTTTTATAAGCCGTAAAATGAAAGCATCAGTTTGGTGCGAAGTTATCCTAAAATATTTGGCTTTGTTTGATTTGTAGATTAGGCTATGTAGGCTATTTAATAATGTATATAAAAAACTAATAATAACTTTTATTTTCCAAATGGAAAAAATTGGTTTGTTGGTTAGTCTGCACTAAATCATCAATATACCTAGTTGAGTTTATGACGCGGCTCCAGGCAGCACAGACGACCAGGATCAGCGCTGGTTCGTCAAACCTGTGTCAAACTGTGGCCAGAATATCCTCCTTTCATTTTGCTTCTTTGGCAAAATACATCTGTAAGCACGTGTGTTTGCACGTGTTACTGTTGTGCGAGTTAACAAATATCTGTTGCTCATAGAGGCCGATCACAACGAACGCGCTTTTTCATTCCAGAGACGTGAGGCGCTCCGCAATGCATTTTATATTGACAAGAAAAAAAGGAGCACGGTGCTCTTTTGTATGTCACTATTGGTAACAACTGAATCAGCTGGTCTATTGTGCGCTAGTGTTGCTGTCAATGTTGTCATAATTTAATTTTTAAAATAATATTATGAAATTCAAGATTTGTAAAGTCATATAACTTTGGATGACTTAAAAGAGCGACCACAAGTCTCTACTCCGTTATTAAAAAGTTCGCCGTATCTTGACAACACACTTTGTCACCTCAAAGGAAACCCCGCCTCTGCTTTCATTTGATTGAAGAATGAAAGACGCCACTGAGGTAACATGCTTTTCCTCTGGAGCTCACAAAGCGGGCAATGGCAAAACGCGAGGCGCGCATGCAGGGCGCAAAATCAATAACCTCCATGCATTTGGTCTTTTCCCATTGCTCAAAATGCGCACGCCGTGGGTCAGGCTGCAGGCACTTGCACAGGCCACAGCGGAGTTTTCATTTCATGCAGAGCATAAATATGTTTTTTATTTTATTTATTAAATAACTATTTATAAAGATAAATTATCATAGCGACACAATTAATTTTCCAAGCCCTTTATCCAAAATCTAAGCACTTTCAAAGCTGGAAAATAGGCTATAGCCTACATTAAAATGAAAACATTTTCAAAGATTTCCAGCACCCGGCAAATGTGCTTGAGTGCTAATTAAAATTATTTTACAGGCGGCAAAATAAGAATAAAATCTTGATATTGATCTAAGCTTTAACTACATTATAGGAGTATTTAATTTGTTAGTAAATCGATAGCACCTGCAGCTGTAATGTCATTCAATATTTTACACAATCGGTTGTAAACTATAGCCTAAAAATATAAACATTATAGTCATCCATCGTACATGCCTGCAATTAATGGCTATTTTTCACAAAACCTTTCATAATAAAGTTTTCTCTCTCATCCTGGTCCTCTGTTTAAATTTTTTCAACCTGTCCTGAAGTGACTGCCGACGAGAAAAAGAAAGCAAGCGCGAGTGGACAAATTAAACTATTTATTCAATCGACTAACACATTAACTAGAATAAACTAAAATAAACTTTGTCAAATATAATATTGCCATAACTGTGACACAACTAGATCTTGAATATTCGCCACGTACACGGTCTTGCGCACTAACAGTCGGGCAATGATTCAATTCAAGTTTGTCTGTAAAGCAGCCCAATAAACATAGGCCTATTATAGCTGATTATGTTTATTATCAATTCTATAATACTCAGAGAATAAAAGCACCATGTTAGCATGCACCGCTGTTTCCGAATTGAGTTTTGAACATTCGAACGTGCGTTAACCTTTAACAACACACATGCTATAATACGAATTAAATATAACAAGGAGATATCTATTTAAGTTTGATTAATTGTGCAACCCTTACCATTTAGATGTCTCAGAGGTTAAAGTTTATTGGTTTACACCCAACAGATATCCACAAATAGGTCTTTTGTCAAGTTTTGAAAGCATTTCTCTGATTTTCATAATGTATCAACTGTCAATTTCAGAGCAGTCACGTCCGTAACGAAGACAAGTCACGTCCGTAACGATAGTTTTCCCTCATTAATGCAAAAATGAAAAACTAAATAAAATGAATTCTAAATGTCCCATGCAGAGCCAACCCTTATCCTTTTGACTGTTATATATATTTGTGGCTTCTGCATTTTTATTCACAGAATTTTAACCAAGTATGTCAACTCACAAAACTCAAGTCTTTTTTTTTTGTCACGTCCGTAACGCATTCATTTTGCCGTCATTTTAAATATAAAACACCTGCATAGACTGATATTTTTTTGATGCCTAAACTCCATGGTTAAGGGGTAATAAAAATATAAACAGATATTTCAATATACTGTTAACATATACATTCTCCGAGTATATACGTTTCATTTTTTTTCTGCAAATGTCACGTCCATAACGCTGGAATCAGCCATATGCTGAAATATATGCTGACGACAACCAGCAAGACCTAGCTTCATTCAAGTGGCTACACCCTTAATTATACAGACTTAAAATAACTTAATAAAAAAGAAACGGATGAGTTAGAAAAAAAAAATTCACCCCCTCACAATTCTCATGAAGGGTAATAATAGCTATATGCACTAAAACCATCTTTTGTACAGGCTGTAAACATGTTTTTTTTTTCAGCTGTAACATCTCCAGAAACTCTATATCTTATCTGGAGATGTTTGCTGGCTTCCCGTGGGAGAGCGGGATGTTGTCGCTTGGACGTGACATGAACGGCCCTTAATTAATAGCCTCAGCCATAGTTAATCTAGTGTGCATGCATATTAGCCTTGGTATACCAGCTTGGAACTTTAAACTAGCGCACAGTTGGCATAACTTTCTTTAGTTGCAGGAGTTTTGTTCCGTGCAGAAATGCGGTGTTGAGAAGCCTTTACCAATAATTAGCCGTGAATAATTAAAGTGCGATTAATAGTGAAAACCGTTAATCTTTCCATCCCTACAATACACCAATCACAATAGGCTGAGCAATCTGGCCAACTGGATGACAGCATTCTCAGCCTACTGTATACCAAAACAAAAAATAAGCCTTCAAAAACAAAAGGAATATTTAATATAGCATAATAAGAGCGTTTAAAATTGACAGTAATTCTGTAATTGTACTGTATGTTTATAACTTTAAGGTTTTTATTAAGAACGTAAATAAAAGTGTGATTGTGATAATAAATTTAATTTTTTTTTGTTTGTCTTCTCTCTCCTGCAGAGCGCACTATGGCCCGGCATGAAGTGCGAGAGGTGGAGCAGAGACAGATGAGGGACGGCCTGCGGGAAACTCCTCTATTGCCTGAGATTGAGGATCTGATCATCATCTATAACCGTGTGCCCAAGACTGCCAGCACCTCCTTCACTAACATCGCATATGACCTGTGTGGAAAGAACCGCTTCCATGTCCTCCACATCAACACCACCAAGAACAATCCAGTCATGTCTCTGCAGGACCAGGTAACTTGATCTTCAAATGCGGGAAGAAAAACATTACTGGAAAATTAGTGTCTTTTATTTTTTATTTTTAAACTGTTAATTGCTTATAGGGATGTATCACAATTCGTTATGATTCACAATGCTTATCTCATGATTCACAGTTTAGTTGTAAAATTGACTTTTTTTTTAAACAGAACAATTTTAAACTAATAGTGAACTTAAGGTAAACAAGAGCCCTTTCATTTTTTTTCTTAAATGCTGCACATTTATTTAGCAAAATAATATATTTTCTGCCATAACTAAATTGTTATTTTAAAACAAATTCCAAATAAATAAAAAAATAATACAAACTAAAGAAGACTCATTAAATAAACAAACTAAAACTGTGACTGCTGGGATTTTACATTTTTAAAAAGAAATATCAGCACATCTACCTGTATGTTTTCTGGCATAAGCTGAGTTCTTTGCACATTTACAAGGTCCCCTGCTGATGAAAAAACTTTCACCGGGGACTGAGATGGCTGGTGTGGAGAGGAAAGTCTTTCCTAAACCAGAGAGCAGTGTGTATAGAGATGGTCAACAGGCCCTCTGCTCCTGGAGACTGGCCCCTGCCATAACATTACCAATTATATAGAAGGATGGAGACAGGAGTTGAACATGATTATGGAGGTGAATAATTAATATTACTTGTATAATTAATTAGTATAATGCTGTGTTCACACCAGACGCAGAAGAAGCATTAAGCTCGAGTGATTTACATGTTAAGTCAATGCAAAGGCGTGAATAGACATCCCTTAAGCCTAAATAAAGCACATAAACACAGCTATTTTCTCAATAAAATGTATGTAAGCCATTTAGCAACCAAGCTACAGTCACTGGGAAGACAGAAGCCCTGCCCATGATGCGAATCCGCATCTGTTCTGAAGCGGATTTGACACGCAAATAAAGCAAGTAACTCAAAATGTTCATGCGTCTATTTATGCACAAATAAGCGCGATTTATCCACCCGTTCCACGTCTGGTATGAACACAGCATCAGTATCAGCGTGATACACTTAAGAAGAGAGAACCTTGAACATTTTAAAATATTCAATAATAAAAAGCAAATTATTAAAAATTAATTTACTTAAACTTAAACTAATTTGAAAAGGAGAATATAAAATAATATAATACCTGGTTCTGCAACAGAACAACTTTCTCTTTCAGTCTGTAAAACATCTTTACACCTTCACTAGGAAAACACTGATGCACCATGCGATCTCAGTAGCACTCATCAGCATTCATCCAGTCTGCGTGGTTTAGCTTATTAATATGTTTTGGACAGTAGTTTTTTACTGTGCTGACGGTTTATGTGCATCGTATTTGTTCTTCTGTTAGAGTCAGTAAAGTTGCTCACCGCTGTTGTGCAGGTAAAGTGAGTTTGCTCCTGTAACCACAGTGCCTTTTTGCATGACTAACCCAGACTATATTTTGTTTCAAATGACTAAACTTATATTTTTTATTAAATTGAAATGTTAAATTTTCAACCATGTTAAAGTTGTCAGATCAAAGATTCCTTCTCAATCAGTCATCCTTTGACGTCTACGACAGGCGTTATTTCCCAAAGCAGTCACAAGTGTTGTTAAGACAATATTTCAATAAAATACATTTTTTCAATCTTATTTTAATCTCAATAAACAGTGATGCTTGTTGACAACTAGGCTATGTTATTTAAGGGCATTTGTTATGACATTGATAGGATCAAACACATTATCTTTCCAATATTAAAGGGTCACGAAACACCAAAACACATTTTTTGAGTGGTTGACAGTTGTATATGTGTTCTACACTGCTAAAAACACTATTTGGACACATATATTCCACTAAAAAGTGAAAATTGGTTGTTTTTGTGTTATTTCGAGCAAATTCGTACTTCCGGTTTGAAACAAATTTTTGAAGCTACATCACAGCCATGAGATCTTAACGTGTATTCCAGCGTGTAGACTGGACGTCTGTACCTGGGAGTACCTTATGACGTCTGGAATTGTGCTGCATTTATTCATGAGTAAGACTTGGTTCAAACCAATCAGGGCGCTCTATTGTGTATGCGGTGCAACTTCATTAATATGCATGACAGCTTCGAAGACTGTTTTTACCTGGTACAGTTTTTAGATGGCAGAGAGATGCCACGTCGTGTTGCCAAGCGAGAGAACAAGAAATGTTTAAAAAATACAGGTCGTCATTGTTGCTTTTATAATTTGTTGCAGTGAAGGTTTTGGTTTTGAAGTGAGGGACCAGTGGTCTTTGTTTGTTTATTCAGAGACAAAGTTAGTTTGTATCGTTAGCAGTACTCTTTCAGTCAAATGATTTCGAAATTAATAAAGTTTACCGTTTGTTAATATCACTACAATATTATGGACTGAAAAATCTGCTGTAAATGCTGCTCTCCGAGTGTAAACATATAAGCACCACAATCAAACCAACTGTCGTGTAGGATTTTCACCACATTTTGTCACAGGAATAACACACACTGCTTTCTGACGCTATCTACCGAGTACATCTAAGTTATTGAGAAATGCTGAGGGTTTTTTCTCTCATTTGCCGTGCGGTAATAAACATTGCACGAAAAATACATGCTTCCAGCAATTCCTCGAATCAAATATGTCGTTTGTCACGAGGAGCATGAATGAACTTCCTGAATGAAAGAGCCAACTGCAGTTAAAGTCCACAATTTAATAATTTGGCAAATAATTTGATTAAATTGTCCATGTAAACACAGTCACTGTCTTTCTCCTCTGCGTCTGTGTTTGTTTTGCCTCTGTGAAAATCAGCTCGTGCCTAAACCGACACTCCCATTTTTATGCAAATTTTTACGGACCTTCCCTTTTTCCCTCCTCCGACACTCCCCGCTAAACAGAGCTGGATACGCCCACTTTCCTGACTTTTACCAAAGTAGAGGTGTGATATATATATATATATATATATATATATATATATATATATATATATATATATTATTTTTTTTCTTTCCAACCATGGGTTTCTTAAACACCCCCTTGTCTGAACTTGGCGTGTGAGATAGAGTAAATGAAAGAACATCAGCACCAAGAAAAAATCAGATGCTCGAGATAAAATAATGACATATTAAAAAAAAAAAAAAAAACTTGCAAATGACAGGTTTGTAAAACACCAAATACAGTGAATTACACTTACAATTTTCAAATTACAATTAATTAAATTCTTATTTTCCATCGAGCAAAACAAATCATCCACCCACAAAGTTGAGTAGTAGACAGACATATAAATAAATAAATCCTATATTTTTTCTTGGAAAAAATATCTTTTTGAAGCGGATTTAATTTGGTATAATTCGATAACAAAAAACATCTGAGGTGAAGTGCTTTAAAACAGGTTCGCAATATGCTTCAGCACCAAAACACAAGCTGATGTGTTGAATAAAACAAAATCTAGCCTAAATAAAATTAAAGTGAAATATTCAGTTTCAGAGAAACCTACATTAAATGACCAAATCATCCATTGATAGTTTAAAACACCTTAATATTTTAGACAAAGTAGTTAAAGTTTGCAATACCAATGATCAGCCTTAATCACCAAGACCCACTCATAAGTAAATATGCAGTTTATTTTTTTGATTACCTGACCCGTGGATTAAAGGCAGCATTCATGGATATAACTGAAATGATATGCCTAATTCTCCAGTGTCATACATGTGATGGAACTCATCATAAAGAACGGGTAAAAAATTAAACATGCTAGTCTTTCTGCGATGATGTCATAAGCCGTGAACTGTGCCACATTACACGAGAGGAAACGATCTAATCTTGTGTCACGAAGCCAATTTGTCATTTATGACTACCCATGACAACCTACGTCAAGGAAATCGTGCCAAACTCATGTGATCTGACCAAGGCTTAAATTGATTTAATCACACAAAAGTGCAATGTTAGTTTCAAATGAAATGTTATTATTATTATTATTTTAGTTTCTGTGTTCTGAACGTTTGACAATGTTCACCAAAAAAAAACACTTGAAGGGATGTTCATAGGACTCTAGAGACATTTTTATAATCATGACATGAATGTGATTTGACTGCCGCTTTACCAAATGATTTATCAAGTTTTGACTGTTTTAGAGTAATTTAAAAGGTGAACAAATATAATCCTGTTGCACTACTATACTTGATTTTGATTTTATTGTAAAAAAAAAAAAACAATAATATGTTAAATGAGAATCTGAAATATTTATTGGTATACTTAAAAAAATAAAGGTGATTTATATATATATTTTTTAGAAATTGGTCGCACACTTCATATTTTCATATTTCTCATAGTACATGTAATAATTCCAGTACTTTTACCATAAACTGACATATTAACCATTTGGTGGAGGCTGATATTTTAGAAATTATGGGATGTGTTGAAAAAAATACATTGTGTTAACTAGTGACATTAGGAGTTAAGGAATGCAATCCAAACTTTTTTTGGTGGTGTGTCATTAGTTATGTCATTTTATATGCAATAATGACATTGTTTGAAATATTGTTGTTATGACAACTTGACATTACCAAGACAACATAACTTGTCATAAATCCACCATAAACATTATTATAAAATCTCATTCAGATTCAAGGCCCATGTCATGATTATGAATGTTTCATGCAGACTTTTGAACTTCAAGTAAAGCATTTACAGAGATCTACAAGTCTAGGCCAGGTCTCATGCACGTCCTACACTGCCTTTAACCAGGCCTCTCATCTCTAGCTCTACTTGTATTATTCATAACCTACTGTCAATATTCACACTGCAGCAGTGCCTTTGTGTGACAAACAGCATTTTACAAACTGAACCAAGAGGAAAAGAAAAAAGAAAAAACAAAGAAAGGGAAAGAATGAGATACAGATCCTGTTGACAGCAGCAAAGAAATGCAATTCTCTATTCGTCAAATGCATTGTTATATAGAGAGGAATGTGCTGTCAGCTAATGAAAATCAGTTTTCAGTTTTAACAAATGGACCATTTTATTT